GGAGCTTGGAGCATCCCATATACTAAGGTGCAGAAGGAATTGTGCATATCAAAATTCAGCTGAAGTTATGAGAACAACTGAATGCCCAAGTGGGATATTATCAAGGTGCAAACCTGCATAAGAATCCAAAGTCCCTTGAGCAAAGAACTCAGTTACATGCTGTAACTTTTATAATGCCAATAAAAACATCTGTGTTTCTTAAAAACAGAAGTTTGGAATTCCATCTAATCTGATCAGCACCAGAGATGGTGTAAAGTAAATCTGTTACACCCCATCCAAGGGGAGCCAGCAGCTCTACATCAGGAGCTGCTGGAAGCACTTGGAGCCTGTTTTGGGTAATCACCACACTCTCAGGAAAACAATGGCAAAAGCATGGGAATCAGGTCTTTTCTCAGGAAACTAGTGACAGGACGAGGGGAAACAGTCTTAAATTTGCATGGCAGTCTCCAGTCGGATATTGTGACAAATTTCTTCACCGAAGGAATAGCTAAGCATTGAAATGGGCTAGCCTGGGAAATGGAGTCAGCTTCCCTGGAACAATTCAAAAATGAGTATAGACAGGGCATTTCACAGTGTGGCATTCAGTCGAAGGCTGAACTTGATAATCCTGGAGGTCGTTTCCAAGTTTGTTGATTCTCCGAAGGCCACACACCCTCCTGCGGGAGCAGCGGGACGCGGGGCGCAGCTGCTCGGGCAGCGCTCCCGCGCCAGCTCCGTGTCCTGGGGCTCAGGGGGAAGTCACACTTCTGCATTTCAGCCGCGCCGCCCCGCCGTACACAGCGCTGTGCCTCCCGTTCAATGCGAACGCGCCCCAAACCCCCAGAAGGGCCCTGGCCGCTCGGCTGGGCGCGGCGCCCGGCGCTGCTCCCGCTGCCAGCGGGCTCTGACGTGCCCGCACACCTGCGGGACGCGCCGTCCCGGCAGGCCGGTTAATGATTAACCGCGGCCCGGCCACAAACCAGTCCCAAAATAGCCCAAGCGCGGCTGATGCAACCGGGACACCCCGCGGGGCAGGTACCGGTCCCGGAGCCCCGCGAGACCCCCACGGCAGCTGCAGCCGCTGCCCCGCGGGGAGACAGTTCCTACCACCCACCCACCGACCGAACCGGCGGGACAGCGCGCAGGGACCCGCCCGGAGGGGTTGCGGGAACAGCGGGTTGCGCACTCACCGGCGCGTCGGGCAGGAGCCGGCGCAGCTCGGTCTTGAGGCGGCGCACGGTCCAGGCAGGCTCGGCACTGAGGCGGAGGTCGCGGTGCCGCTGCGCGGGGCTCCGGATCAGCAACGACAGCGACTCCTCCATGGTGGGTGCGAGGCGGGCGGCGATTGCAAAACCTCCCCCGTGAGGCCTTTATAGGGGCCCGCCCCGCCGCAGGGCCGCGGTGGCTGCGGCTGATTGGCCTCGATCAGGGCAGGGGCGGGGGCTGCCACGTGGGCCAATGGGACGGAGCCTCGCGTGCGGCGCTGTGAGGCAACGGAAGCGCTGATTGGGCGGTGACAGGTGAGGGGCGGGGCTATGCGGTCACCACGGTGACCGTCACCCGCCCCGCCCGGGCCCTGAGGGGCGGAGGCCATCGCCGGGCCGGGACTGCTGTCACCCCTCCCTCGTTCCTTCCCTCCACATCACCTCCTGCGCCAACTCAGCTGTTAGGGATCCCTTGCTTCGCTTTCCCTCTCCCTCACAGCTCTGTGGGGCCCTGCCCATACTTCATCCACAGCCTGACCCAGGTGAAACATTCCCCTTTTTCCATATGGTTATTTTACCCCACCTGTGTAGCTACTTCGGCAGGTTTGCTGCTGGCTTTGTGGGTACAGGACAAACCATACTTCTGGGTGGAACCAAAAGAAGTGCGCAAAGATGCTGGGAAAAGTTAATAATTAATGATATTTTTACTAACAAAAAAAAAAATAAATAAAAAGCCATAAAAATGTAGACCAGCCGCTTCTGAGTGCTCCTCCTCATGCCCATCTTCATGTGAGATGCGATCCAGCACTTAAATGGCCGGTGGTAATGATCCTGATACACCAGGAGGGGGTTTTCGGGTCCTTCAAAACAACTGTAGGAACGTGAGACGTCGGGTTTATCTCTCGGCACCAGGTATTTACTCTGCGTGCTTCAGGAGCTGCTCAGTATTCTTTGGCAGCCAGACCTGTTGCCCAAAGGCACGGATGAGTCTGCAGCCAAGACTAGATTTTGCAACTAGGAAAGGCACTCTGCCACGGGGATGCATCACCCCGGGCAAGAGCCGAGCCGAAGGGCAGCGCTGCCGGGAGAGCCGACTAAACAAAAGCACGAAGAAATGAGCTGAGCCCGGGTCTGGTCGGGTGAACCCTCCGCAGCTGCCAGGGTACGTCCTTGTGAGGGTGGAGGGTTTCACTGGAGCCCACTCCTGTCTCACATCCACATCCCACAGCCAGCACTGGGCTGCACTCCTGCCTGCTCTGTCCTTGCTGTCCCTGGGAGGGACAGCCCAGGTGGGCTTTGCCTCCCCGACCTCTGCTCTGTGTCCCACCAACCCAAGGACACAGTGTCAGAGCTATTTGCTGCTCTTGCTCCATCAGCACAGATCATGATCCCCGTCCCTCAGCTGGCAGTGGGAGAAGACAAACACAGTGTCCAGAGCCACGCTTGCCATCGTCAAAGTCAAGGTGACTTCACTGCTGGCTTGGTTGCAGCCTTTGCTCAGAGCGCCAAGACAGGGGTGGCAAGGACAGGGTAAGGCTGTGCAGGTGTTGGAGTGAAACCAGGATCTTGGACTCTGTGTGTTTTATCTGGGACTCCCTGTGCTGTTGCTGGCCTCTGGACCAGCTGTGCAGCTGTAGCCGTGGTGCTGATCCTCCCTCGAGCTCAGGCTCCTGTGCTTCTCCTTCATCACAGACAAGAGGGGCAGAACTCAGCTGAGCTGCTCTCTGCCCATTCCTTGTCTGAGCCATTGCTGGGAAAAATACGTGTTCATTGGACAAACTTACCTGAATCCAGCACTGACTTGGCTTGGAGGAGCAGAGGCTGGAGGAACAACCTCCTGAGGCACCTGAGTGCTAAACCTCAGCAGTCTCCCTCCATGTCTGCGGTTGCTGGACCCCCCAGGCCCTCACTGCCCTCACCCACAGCTGCCAGGAACTGGTGGATCTGGACTCAGTGGACACATCTGGACATCGGGTAGCACAGTAGCACATGCTCCAGTTCCAGAGGCTGATTCAGAGTTCCTGGGACTGAGGCAAAACAAACACTTGCCCTGATACTGTCTGCTTAGTTTAGCTCTCTCTGTGGCAGCAGATAAGGGGCCACAGGACAAACCAGAAGGTGTGACCAGCACATCAGCCCACTGTCCTGCTGAACAATTAACTCCAAGTTACCAAATTGGAGATGAAGGGCTGCAATCTGTTTTTGTCGCCTGCGTAAATATTAACCACGATGTAAATCAGGATTATCTCTTTGACCTCAAGACAATTACTCTGTTTAAAAAAAAATCCCCAAAACTGGGGGGAGGGCTGAGCGGGGTATTGCTGATGAGTTTACAGCTCTATTTGTGGTCAGGCTGATTTTCATGGTGTGGCAATCACTTGGCACAGCAGGAACAGCCAGAGGAGAATTTGCCAGCACAGGAGGAGATGCTCCACAGTCTCGCATGCTCCTTTGCTCACCCAGGCACAGTGACACTGGGGACGAGTCTGCCATGTGCCACAGACCAGCTAACGCAAGCCTGGTGCTGTGGGGATGCCAGGGTGTGATGCAATTTTGTCCTGACCAAAGGTTGCTCCCTGGGCCAGGATCAAAGGGCAGCAGAATCCAGACAAGCCAAGCTGATTCTCCAGGCTTGGTTTGATATGTTTGTTCTGGCGGAAGCGCTGTGCTCGTTAGGTGTCTGGCTTTAAAAACTGTTTCGTGGTGCTGCTGTCATGGTCCCTTTGGCTCCAAAATTCCTCAGAGTCCATGGAAAAGAGTTTGGTTTTGTTCAGGCACTGGGGCTGGTGACCCTGATACTGGCAGGAAGGAGCTCACAGTGTGCCCTGGCATTGCCAGCAGAGCTGCACTGCAACGGGTTCTGCAGGGAAGGGGTTCTTTGGCTGTCCCTGAGTGTTTCTGTGCCCGAGCAGAGCCAGTTCTGCCACAGACACATCCCACAGGCATCACCTGTGGACACAGCCTGGTAGCACCAAGGAGATGTACTCTGGCTGCAGGTCCTGGCAGCCTGGTCCTGGGATGGGCACGGAGAGGCTTTGCTGCACACCCGGTAAGCTTGGTCAGTTTCCCTCCACTCGCTCAGCTGTTCCACTGCTCAGTAAAACAAATCATCCCCGAAGCAATGAACCCTGCCTGGCCCACGCTGCTCTGGGGCAGCACGAAACTTCCCTGCCAGACAAGGGAGAAAAACCAGAAGGTGGGGAACGAGGGGCACAGCTGGAAAACATTCCTTGCTACCCGGGGTTGCCTCTTGCCAAAGGCCACCAAGCCAGTGGCATGGGAAGCCCCCCGCCATCACGGAGAAACGCCGCGATATTCCCGGGCAGGGCCGAGGCTTCCACCGGTGACACTCGCGGGGATTCCGTGCCGATGCTGGCCGCGTGCCGGAGCTCAGTGTCCCCAGAGAGGGGCCGCTGTTGGGTTTAATGTGTCGCTAATGAGGTTCCTGACTGCGATGAGATGCCCGAGGTTACCGGAGCGGTGCCCGGTTCCGTCCCGGCGCGGCGGCGGCCCGGCGGGAACCGGAGCCGTGCTAGAGTAGACGGGGTCGGCGTGGAGGGGATTGGGATGGGGACAGACATGGGGATGGGGACAGGGATGAAGATGAGGATGGGGGTCCTGCCGCCCGCCCGTTCCCACCCCCGTTACCACGGCGACGTTGTCAGCAGCCGCCCGGCCACGCCCCGGCCCCCGCCTGGGCCAATGGCGCGGCGGCGCCCGGCCTGCCCGCCGGTGACGTCATGGCCGGTGAAAATCCCCCGTGGCCGCGGGAGCGGCGGTGGCGGCGCGGCCCCGCGGCCCGGCCCGGCCCGCACCATGGCCAAGCACCACCGCACGCCGGCGCGCTCCGCCGAGCCCGTCATCGAGGTCAAGAGCAAGGTAAGTGCCCGCCGGCAACGCGGCCAGTGATGCTGATGCCGATGCCCGTGCCGGTTCCTCCGGGTCACGACCGAGCGCGTCGCCCCCGCGTCGGGCAACACACGTGGGGTGGCACCGCGCACCGGGGAGCGGCGCGGGAGCCAGGCGGTGCGGGCGCTCCGCTCCCTGCGCTGCGGCAGCGCTGCCCGGAGCCTCCCCGAGCCCAGCCCGGCCCGGCGGCTGCGGCGTCCCGCCACCGTGGGCTCTGCCGGGCCGCGGGCTCGCTCGGCGCGGCCGTGGGAATGCCGCGCCGGAGCGCTCGCCAGATGCGCAGGGCGCCGGTGCGCCGTTCCGGCAGCCCCGGTGTGCGGTGTGGCCCCGCCGGTGCGGGTGTGCGGGGTGTGCGGTCACCCCGGGGACACACCTCGCCCAAATGTGCGCTCACCCAGATAGATGTGCGTGCTCGCCAAGACATGCTCATCCCCGGCCATGCCATCACCCAGATGTGCACCCTCAGCAAGGGACCAGCCCCTGCCATGCATCCAGATGTGCACACCTGCATGACTGTGCGTTCGCCCAGTTGTGGTCTCCCCCAGACGTGTCTGCTCATCCAGATATGTGCTCACCTGGCACACCCTTGTCCAGATGTGTGCCGTCACCCAGATATGCACCATTATCCACCTGTGCCCACCCACCCATCTTATGCTCAGCCAGATGTGTGCACTCCCTTTCTGTGCCCTTATCAGCTGTGCACTCGCCCAGCTATGCCACTGCCTGCTCGGGACCCCCGGCAGGGTGCAGGATGCCTTCCTTCCCAGGACGTGGTGGCCACCGCCTGCCCCAACAGCTGGGGTGTGACCCCCGCGGGCAGCGCGATCCTCGCAGTGTTCCTTAGCTCGTTCATAATTGGCTTCCCCTTCGTCGTGACGGAAGGAGGCATTAATTAGCGCTGTTGCTCACCAGGTGCTACGGCAGCGCCCGTGTCGCAGGGAAGGGCCTCCCGGCAGCACGGAGTCTGCCACGGCTGGTGGTAAAGCCAAAGGGTCCTTCCTCTGCCGCGGGGCCATCTTTCTGCCCCATCACTTCGGCGTTTGGGCAGAAAAACGGCTTCGCTTCTTTTACTTTGTTTTTGGGACGGGCTCTCGGTGCTGCCAGGCTCCGGAGCTCTGCCTGCCCCGTGGCAGCTCTGTGTGGTGCCCTGCCTGCATCAATCCTGCTGGCCGGAGCCAGCCCTGCCCAGAGTCACTCTCTTCCTCCTCTTCCTCGTCTTCTTCGTCCTCCTCTGCAGTTCGACGCTGAATTTCGCCGCTTTGCCATGAAGCGCTCTGGTGCTGGCAGCTTCCAGGACTTCTACCAGCTGCTGCAGACAGTGCACCAGATCCCACGGGTGGACGTGCTTCTGGGCTACACTGACATCCACGGCGACCTCCTGCCCATCAACAACGATGACAACTACCACAAAGCCCTGTCCTCTGCCAACCCCCTCCTCAGGGTCATCATCCAAAAGAAGGGTAAGCGGGGCTTTGGATGTGTCCTTCTATCAAGAGAGATCAGCCACATCCCACGGTACTGCTGGTTCCACCTCTGGACTGTGCCAGTGGGGGCATGGCTGGTCACATACCCTCCAGCCACTGCTTTGGTGGATGGATGTGGAGATGGTGGCACCAGGAGGCTGCCAGAACCCTGCCAGGCTGTGGCACCCACAGGGGCTCTCCCTGGCTCTCTCAGCCCAGCCCCGTGTGACCTGGTGAGCAAAGGCAGATCCTTGCAATTCACCCCTCTGAAGTTGTGTTTTCCAGCCAAGCTTGCGTGGGCTCCCAGATAACACCTGTGTTATTCCTGTGAGCTCTGTGCCAGCAGCCCCATCCAGCTCCCTGCCCTGAGGAGGCAGCAGCCATCATTTTGGCAGAGTTCTCAGGGTGCCAGGTGCTGCTGGATTTTTGGCGTTGGGAAGAGGCTTGGTGCCTCCATGGCAGATCAGGAGCTTGCCCTTGCCTCAGTGGCATATTCTCACAGGTACACCTCATAGCATCCTGATAGCAGCATCCTGGCAGGATGAAAGCCTCCAAGTGACAAAATCTTCGAGTATTTCTCCTATTTGCAGGGAAAACAAGCCCTTCCCCTTCCACTCAGTTTAGCAGCACTGAAGTTTTCTCTTTCATAGCATCATCAGTCAGCAGTTCACAGAGCCAGAGTCTGACCTGGAGCCCTAGTTTTCCCTGCACAGCATCCAGAGTGAGTCTGTGTTTCCAGCTCATGTTAGTGGTATGAAGCCTCTGGGTGAGGGGTGATGCTGGTGGCCAGCCCTGGCTGCTGTATCAGTTTTCCTGGGTTTTGCATCAGGGTGGTGTGGGATGCCCTGGACATGTGTTTCTTCTGCGGCTGCATGGTGTGGGGGCTGGCAGCAGTGATCCAGGATGCTGGAGCCCATGGTTCACTCAGGGGATGTCGCTGCCCGTACTGAACCATCTCCTGCTCTTGGCCCAATGCTTGGACCCAGGCTGTGGCATGGAGAGCCAGTGCAGGGGTGGCTGTGCCAGAGCTTCTGTGGGAACTTCACTCCTGCTCCCAAGAGCCACCCTGTGAGCTGCTGGAAAAGCCTGTGAGGGCCCACGGCTGACTGTGCCAAGACAGCCCAGTGTGGAGAGGGAGCAGGCAGTCTGACTGCATGGGCAGCATGATAAGGAAGGTGGTGAGCAGGCAGCACCAGGGAGCCCCAGCACCCAGCTGTGCCTGCAGGAGAGGGTCCGTGGCGCTGGCACCACCACAGGGAGGTGAGCAGAGAGGCCAGGAGCAAGTCCTGGGTGAATCACAGCTAATTTAAAATGGATCCAGGTCATCCCGAGGCTGGGCTGTCGTTGAACCGGTCTGGGTCGCTGAGGAATGTGGCTGCAGAGCCTCTCACGCCGCCGGGTGCAGGGAGCTGTGCACACACACAGGTGTGCTCCTGGCAGTGGGCTCTGCAGCAGCCAGCCCTGCCACAGCAGGGCAAAAAGCAAAGGCTGCAGATGGGCTCCCCTCTGTGCCATCACCCCGCTGGGTGAAGCCACTCCTGCAGGGCAGCCCAGCTGGGACAATGTCACTGGCCTTCCTTGGCTGGGCCAAAGCTCATGGGAAGGGCAGGGGAAAGTGTGGGACATTGCCAGGGCCACCATCAGGCTCATCCTTGGCATGCTGGACCTGCCTGGCCCAGCCACTCTGCACCCCTTGGAGAGGAGCTGTGTGCTGAAATAGCTGTGGGAAAGCCTCCGCCGCCCTTCCCCGAGCTAAAAATATGCCAAAACTGTGTGTGCAGTGAGATATTTATAAGCCAGGAGCCCTGGCAGGCTGGCTTGCCTAGGGAGAAATCCCATGTCCCCTGGGCTTGGGGACATCCCTAGCAGCCCTGCAGCTGGAGCAGGGTCCAGATGCTGGTGGGAGACACTGTGAGGAATGTGCTGACCATGGATCTGGGCTCCCCCATGGAAAGAGATGGGGAAAAACCAGAGAGGAACCAGGAGACACTCCTCAGCACCTGGTGGATGAGGCCAAGGATGATGGGTTGGAGTTGGGCCCCACAGAACAGCCTCAGGCCATGGTACAGGAGGAGGGAGTCAAAACCTGTATGAAGGTGCCTGATGGTGGAATAAGAGACATGGGCACAAATCACAGTCTGGCATATTCAGGGGCCTGAGGATGCTGCAGCCCTGGCATGAATTTCCAGGAGGTGGGGAGTCTCTGTCCTTGGGAATGACAGAGTTCTGCAGGACACAGTGGTGGCTATCACCAACCCATGCCAGTGATAGCCCTGCTCTGGTGGCACAGAGGACTCTGGTGATGTCTCCTGGGGTTGGACTTGCCCTAAGGGAGTTGGCTGCCACCACAGCACACATGTGTGGAGGATCCTCTCTCCCCAAAGCCAAACTGGGGCATGGCTGCAGCTACCAGGCCATCAGGGCTGGCAGCTCTAGTGTTAAACTGCAGAGTTTGGCTTAAAGTGTGATTAAGGCTGAATCACTGCCTCGATCCCACTAATCCTGGCCTGTGTGCCTGTGTACACTGGGTAATCCCAGGAGATGGGCCCCAGCAGAGACAAGCTGCAGGGAAAGCCAGGCTGATGATCTGGGGAGGAAAAGCCGGTGAGACCTGTGAGCAGGGCCCTTCTGCTGACTGCTGCCCCACCACCTGGGGCTGAGGCCACGCGTCCACATCCCCAGCAGCTGCAGCGCCTGACCCGTGTCCTCCCTTGCTCCCTACAGCAGAGTCCGATGCCAGCGTCTTCGCCTCCAACTCCTTGCAGCGGAAGAAGAAAGGGCTGCTGCGCCCGGCGCACTACCGGGCTAAGCCTCACCTCCTGATCGGGATGCCCCAGGACTTCCGTCAGATCTCCTCCATCATCGACGTGGACATCCTGCCCGAGACGCACCGGCGCGTGCGGCTGCACAAGCACGGCTCCGACAAACCGCTGGGCTTCTACATCCGCGACGGCGTCAGCGTGCGCGTGGCCCCGCAGGGCGTCGAGAAGGTGCCCGGCATCTTCATCTCCCGCCTGGTGAAGGGCGGCTTGGCCGAGAGCACGGGGCTGCTGGCGGTGAGCGACGAGATCCTGGAGGTGAATGGCATCGATGTGGCCGGCAAGTCCCTGGACCAAGTGACGGACATGATGGTGGCCAACAGCCACAACCTCATCATCACCGTCAAGCCGGCCAACCAGCGCAACAACGTCATCCGCAGCAGCAAGGCCTCGGGCAGCTCCGGCATGTCCACGGACAGCACCCCCAGCCAGCAGACCCCCAGCCCGGCCTCGCAGTACCTGAGCAATTACAGCACGGCCGAGAGCGACGAGGAGGGCGACCTGGTCATCGAGAGCGACAGCGCGTCCCACTACATCCCCGGGGGCTGCCCCAACGGGGGCCCCGCGGACGGACCCCTGCAGCGGAGCCTGTCCCCGCACAGCTCGCGGGGCTCCCTGCAGTCCCTCGGCAGCCACGACGGCAGCCCTGGCAGGGGCAGCGGACGGGAGGATGGCACCCTCCTCACCCTATAGCTGCAGGGGCCTGTGCCACTCGGTGGCTGCCCAGGTTTCCGCTCATCCGGGCTGGATGTGGACACCAGGGTGATGATGTGGCCAGCGGGCAGGGGTGGAGAGGGGCTGCCCGCTACCCTCTCCCACCCCCCGTGACCCCGGGAGCTCCACTGTGGCACCCACTCAAGCTGGGCACTGCCCCTCTGAGCCCCCTTGCCTCTCCTTCCAAGCAAGCGGGGGTTTTTAATTGTTTTATTGAAATATGCATCATTAATATATTGCAATGGACAGTAAAACTTTTTCTAGAAAGCACCACGCTTGTCTCTGATTCATGTCACTGCAGAGAGGAGAGGGACAGTACCCCGGCCCTATGCATGGCAGGCAGTGCCTGAGGGCGGTGGCCTTGACTTAGCACATTTTGTGACTTCAATGCTGTGCTGGGTGACCCCCCCAAGACCCATTATGCCGTCCCAGGACACGTGTCCAGGCTGTTTTGGATATCCCACTTGGCCTGATGCAGTCAGCCTCGCTTGGGCCCCCGCATTCCCACCTTGTCCCTGCTACTGGGCCCTCACTAATGCAGGGGAGGGACACCTGGTCTGGCAGCAGCACCTTGGCTGTCACTCAGCCCTGCAAAAGCTGCTGGGGATAGTGCAGCCCCATCCTCCTTCTTCAGCTCCAAGCTCAGGGCAGGGGGCGTCCACACCTGCCCTTGCTGCTCTGCTGGGGCTCCCAGCACAATCAGTCCCTCTCCCAAAAGTGCCAAGCTGATGGAGGCACTCACTGCTGCCAAGGGCTTGTGGTGGCACTGGCAAGGAGGAAAGACCTGCAGTTCTCAGAGTCTGAAAAGCCCAGCTCTCCATTAAGAGCCTCAGGCCAGGGCAGGCACGGAGTGCAGCAGGGGCTGAGGACACTCATGGCACACAGCCAGGGCCCAGACAGACCAGAGAGCAGATCTGACAGCAGGGCTGGTTAGCCCAGGCTTGTTTTGAGTAGGGAGGTGCCCAGGGGCTGTGCCCATGGCCTCCAGTCATTCTCACCCAGCCGGCTCAGCCTGGCTGTGGGGTTTGCCCTGAGGTGGCCCCAGGGCCACATGGGGTGATTTTTCCAGTTGGCATCTCACCTCCTCCAGCCCCTGAGTGCCAAAATATTCCTCAGCCCTTGGCAGCAGCGTCAGCCCTGACATCCTAGGGCACTGCAGTGTGCCAGGTGATACAGGCAGGGCTAGAATACTCCACAATATCCCCCACCCCACAAAATCCTGCCCAGAATGGAGCAACCCCTGCAAAAAGGCAGCTCTTGAGGGATCCATGCACAGTATCCCCACCCTGTGAAGCAAAAGGAGATGGAACAATGGCACAAACTGCAGGAAGGGAAAATTTGATGGGATTTCAGAGGAAAAAGTGTTTCCCTGAGGCTGGCACAGTCTGGAGACAGAGCCCAGCAAGGTGATGGGGACAACCCCATCCTTGGAGATTTTCCTAATTCAGCTGGATATGGCTCCAAGCTGTGGCACCAAGCCCTCCAGCTATCACTTACAGCTTAAAATTTTCTTTGCTTCATGCAACAAGATCCCTGCAAAGGTCTGCACACGTTCCTGCATGGCATCTGAAGGCAAGGTAGCAGTGAGCTCACCTACATGATAGCACCTTCTCAGCTCTGCCCTGCCAGCCTGTGGATGGAGATCGGGCAGGATTTTGCACATTCTCCAGTGCATGTCCCATCACCATGTCCCAGCACCCAGCCCTGTGAAAGCCAGGGTTCATCCCCTGTCTGCACTGTGCCAATGCTGATGATTTCTGCTGCCCACACCATTCCTCAGGCCCTGCTGGGCCCACTGGGAGCTGCACACACACTGTGAGATGGAAATGATGATTTATTGGAGTCTCTCCTGCCACACAGACAACAAAGGCTTCTCCAGACATCCAACCAGACCCTCCTGACAAAACAGCCCTTCCCTGGGCAGAACACGCTGAAGCTCTGTACCTCTTTCTTGTCCCCAAGCTGTCCCCTGAGCCCTCAGGTGCTCAGGATGAGCCATGACCATGGTCCTGCTCAGAGTGGTGAAAGAGGATGACAAGGAATACCACAGGCACCACCACAAGAGATCTCCTACCAGTTTCTAGAAGTAGGAAAAGAGGGAAAGTAAGAGGTGATGCCACAGATCCAAAGCAGAGAGCTGCTCTGTGAAAAGTCACGCAGCAGAGACAACTGTTCTCCAGACCTGAGCAGGGCCTTAATTAAGGCATCTCCCTCCCTTTCCTGTGGACAAGATATAGCACTGAAAGGTGAGCAAGAGATGCCTGCTGCATATTGGACACTGTTATGGGCATTTGCATGGGCCCATGATCTGGAACTCGGCTTCCTCTCCTTCCTTCACAAAAAGTGATGTCCATTCCTGCCCAGCAACAAAGGATGTTCAGGCAGAGCAGCGCAGCACACCTGGTCCCACCAGCTCAGGAGTCCAACTTGATGAAGACTTTCGGCCTTGAGAAAATTTTGATTGCCTCATCTATCTGGGAGAGCTTCCTCTCGAGCTCTACTCGCCTCTTCTGCATCTTGAGGCTGTCTCCACGCATTGGCAGCAGAACCAGGTCCTTTATCAGCTGCTCCTGGCCTGTAAAAAGAGAAAACAAGAAGTTTTGTAAGTTGAGGAGCAAAGAAATCCATCCTTTTTCTAGTGCTATGATCATGAACACAACAGCAGCACTGGGAAAAGGACCTAGAATCCTCCAACTTAAAGCTCAGCTGGATGAGGACCTGAGGGACCGGCTCCAGCTTTGAGAACCAAGGATTGGACTAGAGACCTCTGAAGGTCTCTTCCAACCAAAATCTTTCTAAGATTTTAGGAGCAATAGCAACCCTAACATCAGGTCCACTGGACAAGTCTGCTCCAGAGAGCCAGTCCTGTAAGCTGCAGGACGCTGACTGCTCTTTCCATGCACACAGCTCACACCCTGCCTACACATGCCTTAATCTCCGAGTGGTAGGAATCTATGTCCCTGTGTCTCTTCTCCCTTATCCTGTCTAGGGTTGTGTGTTTTTCTGAGCTGGAATCCCTGCTTCTTTTCCTCTTACTCTGTTTCAGACTGCTGAGGGTGTCCAGGCGCTGGCTCTCGGGCATCATGGTGTGGCCGGGTGGCGTGTCGGGGTCCGGCAGGTTTCGCAGCCGCTCCTCCATCTGCCTGCGCCACTGCTCCTTCCTCTCCACCAGGCTGCAGGCAAAGGAGAGCAGGTGTCAGCACATCTGGCACGAGGGGTGGCCCAGGGGCACAGGCACAGGCCAGGAATGTGCCATTCAAACCCTGCCAAGTTCTCTGTCACCGGCTGAGGACCCCTGTGCTGGCACACACCGTCATGGTGGGGGATACACCGTGTTTAAACCACACGTGTGGACCAGCAAATGTGCTCCACATGCAACAAAGGGCTGCTGGGAGAGATGCACTCAGGCCAACACGTGCTCCTGGGAGACAAGGGCTGCTGCTCCTCATTTCTGGCTCACTGAGTCCTAACCAAACCATCTGTGGGTCAGTGGCAGAATGAAGTCAGACAGAGCAGCTCATGGGCAGGGATGCTGGCAGAGGACAGCACAGCCAAAGGACTGGCACCACAGTCAGTCATAGAATCTGTTTTCCATGCAGAGCCCCAAAATGCACAGCACTAGCTGGATGTTCCTCAGAACCCAGGTCCAAGGCAGGATGAACACTTGTGAGGCAGAGCGAGCTCTCTGCCTCTCCAAAGCCAGAGCTTTTAATGCCAAAGCTACACCACATAGAACAAAGCTTACAAAGGGGCAGGAGCACATTTCTCTAGGTACACAGAGCTTCCCCATATCAGCATCATTGTACAACAGCAAGCAAGGGAGGAGGAGAGAAAACTCCCTCTGAGCCCTGCGACACTGGGCATGGGACGCTGGTTAAGTCAATAAAGCAGGAGGGACAGCGTTCACACCCCAGGTCACTGCTGCACTCTGTGAGTGCACCTCTGTGCCCAGCCCATCTCTCTAGGCAGAACCTGGGGGGTGCAATTGAGGTCTCATGGAGCAGAGGGGGGCACACATACTACTGGGGGACGTGGCCCTTTTGCTTGGTGTTGTATTCCTCCTGTTCCCGGTGCTTCTGCTCCATCAGCTCAGCCAGCGCCTGCAGGGACTGGGAGCGGCGCAGCGGGGCTCGCTTGGCAGTGCAGGCGTTGTGCCTGATGAAGTCAACGCTCCTGCCCTCCACCTGCATCTGGAAGAAGAGAGAGCAGGGCATCAAGGGCAGGCTGGGCACCTGCATGCAGCCAGCTGACACTGTTCACATGAGGAAAAAAGCAAAAATGCAGCACACAAGATACTGAATTGTATGACAGCAGGACAGGCATAGCCCATCTCAGTGTGCAGCCACAGACAGGCAAGAGTTATGGCCACGGTTTGGGAAGGAAGGCAACAAAAGCCAAGCCTAAACCTGGCCTCTTCAAGGTCCCCAAGATGAGAACATGCCTTAGAAAAAAACAGGCATGACATAGTCCCCATGGCTCCTACTGGTGCATTTTGAGGGCAGAGGAAAAACAGGTTGGGCGCTCACCAGGCCAGGAAATGCAACAGAATCCCTGGCAAAGCAGGAACTTTGCTGATCCTTGGGGCACTTCCCCACTGACAGCACCTCCACCACAGCTCCTCTGCTGGACAAAACAGTGGAGAAGGTGGCTGTGTTTGCATTTAAGATTTCCCTGGTCTTCCTCCTTTGAAGATCACGTCCTGTTTAATTAAGTCATTCATGGCATTTAGAAGCCAACAAACTGACAATCTCACACTTGCCAAGGGAAAAGGACATGAGTCATGGAGCTGTTTAGGACCTCCCAAATAGACTACTTGAAAGGATTAACTTCTAATGTTGATTTAACTCTCCTTACTAAAATGTACACTCATTTCCCAAATTTTTATCTAACATTCAGAAGCCTCAGTTCCTTTGATTACAGTGGGAACAGCCTCCAAACCCCCAAGACCTCCTGCAAAACCCTTGGAAGAGCAGATTTGA